TCTAGCACCAGCAGTACCTCCAGCACCTCCAGTGCCAGCAGCTCCAGTAGCACCTCCAGCACCTCCAGCACCAGTAGTACCACCTGCTCCGGCAGCTCCAGCACCTCTGGTACGAGTACCTCCAGGACCCGCAGCTCCAGCATCTCCAGTACCTCCAGCTCCAGCTCCAGCGCCTCCAGTACCAGCAGTACCTCCAGCACCTCCAGTGCCAGCAGCTCCAGTAGCACCTACAGCACCTCCAGCACCAGCAGTACCACCTGCTCCGGCAGCTCCAGCACCTCTAGTACGAGCACCTCCAGGACCAGCAGCTCCAGCACCTCCAGTACCTCCAGCTCCAGCGCCTCCAGCACCAGCAGCACCAGCACCTCCAGTGCCAGCAGCTCCAGTAGCACCTCCAGCACCTCCAGCACCTCCAGCACCAGCAGTACCACCTGCTCCGGCAGCTCCAGCACCTCCAGCTCCAGCGCCTCCAGGGTCAGCAGCTCCAGTAGCACCTCCAGCACGAGCACCACCACCAGCTCCGGCAGCTCCAGTTGCTCTAGTACGAGCACCTCCAGGACCAGCAGCTCCCGCAGCTCCAGCACCAGTAGCACCAGCACCTCCAGTGCCAGCAACTCCAGTACCTCCAGCAGTACCTCCAAGACTAGAAGCTCCAGTACCTCCAGCACTAGCAGCACCTCTAGTACCTCCAGCAGTACCTCCAGCACCTCCAGCACCTCTAGGACTAGTAGCTCCAGCACCAGCAGCACCTCTAGGACTAGTAGCTCCAGCACCAGCAGGACTGTACCCTCCACCACCAGGACTGCCTCGCCGAATGACCCACGCACGAATCGCCTGCGGCGAGAGGACTAGGACTAGGACTAGTAGCTCCAGCACCAGCAGCACCTCTAGGACTAGTAGCTCCAACACCAGCAGGACTGTACCCTCCACCGCCACTAGGACTCGCAGCACCCCCAGAGTCAGCACCCCCAGTCGCAGCACCCCCAGAACCAGCACCCCCAGAACCCTCACCCTCTGTCTCAGCACGTGTATTCTCAGCTCCAGAGTCCGCAGCAGCAGGCGGCGGAGGGGGCGAAGACGGTCGAGGCGGAAAACCCGGGGGGGTCTCCAAGCGTGGAGAGCGGCGAGTGGCCGCCGTGTCGTCCGCAACTGGGTCACCCCCGTCAGCCGGGCCAGAGGAGTCAGAAGAGATCTCCACTGGCTCATCCAAGGGGGCTGGGTCGAGCTGAGACACGCCTGAGGGAGCAGGACCTTGTGGGGGGAGGGGGTCTACCGGGGGGGGGGGGGTCTGGTACCAGGAAGAGGGGTGCTAGGGGAACCGGGTGGGACGCGTGCGGGTGAAACTGGTAGAAACAGACCGACTCGTCAAAGGTGACGTCCTGGGAGGCGAAGACTCGACGCGAGGGCGGGTGGTAGAACTGCCACGGCGGGGCGTCAGTGGGGAAGCCAAGGAAGACGCAGCGGAGAGTGCGGGAGGAGAGCTGCTCGCGGTGGTATCGCGAACAAGAGAGAGCACGCCCCAGACCCGAAACACTGACGCATCGCCAGCCTTCCCCGTCCACCGGAGTGTGGGCGAGGTCTCTGGCTCCGAGACACGGGGCCAGAGGTTGAGCTGATGCGCAGCGTATCGGACCGCAAACGGCCACAGAAAATGGGGAGCAACCGCATGGATCATGGAGGTACGAGCAACCTCCATGATCAAGCCAATGCGACGCTCAGCAATCCCATTCTGCTGAGGAGAGGCCGGAAGCGTGAACGTCTGGCGGATGCCCTCGTCTCGACAGAACCCCGCAAGGAGGTCAGAAGAGAACTCACTGCCCCTGTCAGAGTGCAGACGCAGGACTGGGAAGTCCTGCTGAAAACGCTCGTGCAGCTGGAGACGAGTAGCACGGATCCAGGGGATCAAAACACCGCTGACGTCCGCCTTGCAACGCAAGGGGAAGACTGTGGTGTAGCGTGTGTAGTCGTCAACAACCAACAGGAAGTAGCGCTCCTGACTCGTTCCACCGATGGGGGCTGGGCCCCACACGTCCATGTGGAGTGTCTGCAGAGGAGCGGTGGTCGGAGGAAACTCGGAGGAGTGCGGAGCGGCGCGCTGCCGCCCCTCGACGCAAGGAAGACACGGCGGGGCAAGCGAGCGCGGCAGGGGGGGCAGGGTCCTGGGGAGGCCAGAGACAAGGAGACGGGAGTGCATGCTGCGTAGACGCGGCAGGGAGGGGTGACCAAGACGGTGGTGCCAGCGCTGAGTCTCGTGCATGAGTACTCTGCACGAGCAGGACGCGGCTAACTGACCCGACGCAGACGCCCGACTCGACGCGGCCACCTGACCTGACTCAGCCACCTGTGCAAACGCAGTGGTCAGTGTGTACAGACTAGACCCAGGCTGTCGAGTGAACGTAGCCAGGTGACGGCCAGTCCGGGAGCACGTACAGATCGCCACACGCTGCCCTCCAGGAATAAAGGTATCAACCCAGACATCCTGAATGGCAGCGTTGCTCACCAAGTTCGTCGAGAACGTGGGGAGGTGGAGACCTGACAGAGAGCCGGAGGGGACTGCTGGACAAGGGAGGACCGTGGAGGCTCTCGCAACTACTGGGCCCCCAGAGGGGTCAGCCAGTGAGACTGGGACAGGTGCTGTGAGTGGTGTGACTGTGGTGCAATCACGAAAGAAGCAACGTGACGCGTCTGAGTCAAGCGTGAAAGTGTGCAAGACCTCAGCTGAGGCAGGACCTGTGGCAGTAGACGCACTAGCACCTAGAGCGTCGGCAGACTCACGGGCACCTAGAGCTGCAGCAGACTCACTAGTACCTGGAGCGGCAGCAGACTCACCAGCACCTGGAGCGGCAGCAGACTCACTAGCACCTGGAGCGGCAGCAGACTCACTAGAACCGAGAGCAGGAACCTCTACACAGCCAGGGACGCATCGCTGAGAAGCACAGTCGCGACGTTCCTTAGACCACTTAAAATCAAAACCTCCACCACCAGGCCTGCCTCGCTGAAACACCCACTCACGAAGCTGCTGAGGGGTGGGGTCGTCCTGGAGAGGCAGTGCCCGCTGCTGTCCACCCCTGGCCGCAGCAACTGCCGCGATAGTGGCCATGACAGACAGCGACGGTCAGGAGTAGGTCCAGCACCTCCAGCTCCTCCAGCACCAGCAGCACCTCCAGCACCTCCACCAGCAGCAGCAGTAGCACGAGTAGCAGCAGCAGTAGTAGTAGCAGCAGCAGGGCGGCTCAGTGGGGCTGGGCGGCCGTACCTCCAGCACTCCCAGCAGCACCTCCACCAGCAGCAGCAGTAGCAGGAGTAGCAGCAGCAGCAGTAGTTTTTTTTTTTTTTTTTTTTTTTAGGGTTTCGGGTTGCGCGCTGGCTGCAGGGGCAGCGCCCACGGGCTGCAGGGGCGACGCGCGGCTCGGCAGGGCGGCGCGCGGGCTGCAGGGGCAGCGCCCACGGGCTGCAGGGGCGACGCGCGGCTCGGCAGGGCGGCGCGCGGGCTGTAGGGGCGGCGCGCGGCTCGGCAGGGCGGCGCCCAGGCTGCAGGGGCGACGCTCGGCTCGGCAGGGCGGCGCGCGGGCAGCAGGGGCAGCGCCCACGGGCTGCAGGGGCGACGCGCGGCTCGGCAGGGTGTCGTACGGGCTGCAGGGGCAGCGCCCACGGGCTGCAGGGGCAACGCGCGGCTCAACAGGGCGGCGCGCGGGCTGCAGGGTCGACGCGCGGCTCGGCAGGGCGGCACGTGGGCTGCAGAGGCAGCGCCCACGGGCTGCAGGGGCGAACGCGCGGGCTGCAGGGGCAGCACGCGGGCCACAGGGGCAGGCACGGCTGCAGGGGCAGCACGGTCGCAGGGGCAAGCACGGCTGCAGAGGCAGCGCAGTCGCAGGGGCGAGCACGGCTGCAGGGGCAGCGCGGTCGCAGGGGCGAGCACGGCTGCAGAGGCAGCGCGGTCGCAGGGGCAGCGCGCGGGCTGCAAGGGCAGCGCGGCTGCAGGGGCAACGTAGGAAGAAAAAAATTACGGGTAGGGTAGGGCAGAACGTTCGGTGGGCCCTAGGAACAATTCTGCTCTAATACCATGTTAGAATAAGCAGGAAGGAATGATGGGCTAGGTAGCATGCATGAGTACAAGTACCCTGCTCTAAAGTGTTGTACCCCTTGTAGGCTAACCCACTACAGCCTAGAGATAACACAAACATACAGTTTGACACCTAACCATCGCACCCCGCGAACCCCGCCTAGCTAGCCTTTCGCTATATCTGTGCTAGGCTTCATTTCAGCAGTAGTTGTAATCACTTCCGCGATATTGCATTCTGCGCACTCTTCTTATTGTTCAACTCTTAACATATGGGATTGACAGGGATCACTAATTTGCGCTATCTGGTTGGACGGGTCGGCCTCAGACATAATGTGTATACTCATTTTTATAGTCCGATTGTACCGTATGTACCTGGATAGGCAACACCTAATTATCGCATGGGAATCAAATGTGTTCCATAGAAAAGAAAAAGCATTAATGGTCGCATGATTGAATGGCTGGTCTTATTCAAGTTATATTACCACCATGAAAACCGTGAAAATATGCGTTTATTTGGTAGTGTGTCATGGAATAAAAAAAATGCATGGCAAATCAAAGAGTATATGTGGAATCTGCATATTCCGTCTTTTTGTTCCCGTTCGAGAAAGTCGCGACGTGCTACACTGATTTGAGTTATTGATGTGGCTACCCACATTGGAACCTCGCATCCCTGAAATTCTTCCCCGCATCCTGCCTGCCTTCTGCATCAACATCCCTCACCTGTTCCCCCCGCACGCGCGCTCCTTCCCCTCCGCTCTCTCGCACTGCCGGGACTCGGGGGGCGCAAGCTAGAAGCGCCAAGTAGCACAGCGACAGCAGAGGACAAGGACAGGAACACACACCCACGCCCAGTATCAAAATCCCTTCACCTCACACTCAGCTCTCTTTCGCTCCCTTCTTCCTCCTAGGGATTGGCGGTCCTTAGCCTTCCGCTACAATGGTAATGGCGCCTTAGCCCAGCGTAGTAGTCGTCGCTAGCTAGCTTAGGAGGTTATGCTTCACGTAGTGCCGGTCTGCATCCGGTTGCGCTGGTTGTCCGCGATTCCCTCAAGTAGTCTGTCGTCTTTGACCCGCGGATCTCGTGAAGCCGTATACGAAATTCGTTATCAAAGACATCCACGTCCCAACTCCCCCGCTCCCTCCTCCCCCGTCGCGTTCTTTTGCAGGCGATAGCAAAGGCGACGAAGACCAAGGCCTACTTCAAGAGATACCAAGTCAAATACCGCAGAAGGAGAGGTCAGCAGCCGCCTCTCACGCGCTCTTCCTATCTCTCCCCCTCTCCCCTGTGCCGAGTCTTCTCCTGACTCCACATATTTAGGACCGCCGACGGCTTATCCTGTCTATAAGATGCGCCGGTTCCTTCAGCGTATGAATGCTGCGGAGCTGCTGATTGTTCCACGTTGGATCTGTAGTCAGCTGGATTTACTAACTCAGTTCGAGTCGATGTAGTTCTGGGCAGCGGGTGTTACTACGCTAGGGATGACCGTTGTGGAGCTAGCGAGGCGAGTTCGGGTTTGGCTTGAGCAGATGCTTCACAGCAGGGCATCGGTTTAGGACGCTTTTTAAGCTTTGTTATGTCGCTTACGCAGGGTGTTGCAGGATGCGTTGTTTTGTTCCTTTAGACCTCCCCTTACGAAAGGGCTAACGTAATCTGTATGTGCTCCTCAGTAAATTAACTACGTCAATGTTTTGGTCTGTGCCCTTGTGGTTGTCTTCCCTGGCCGCTGTGTGCGCAGCGGGGAAGACTGACTACCGCGCGCGCCTGCGCCTGGTGACCCAGGACAAGAACAAGTACAACACTCCCAAGTACCGCTTCGTTGTCCGCTTCGTAAGTCAATGTTCCTTCTCACGCATCCCGTTAAATTAATTTATTGTTGACGGACTTCGGTCCGCGCAAGTTCACTTTGCGAATAAGAATTGAATCAAACGCGGAGACGTGCTGGGATGCTGTAATGGTCGTGCCATTATCGTGTTTTCGTTTGGAGAGCCCACTGCACAACGATCCCCGCTCTTCCTCCCCTCACAATCTTCTTCATCTGTCTTCCCTACTCGCCCCTTGTCGGACGTTGACATGATTGCGTGGTGTGCGCTCTGTGGTTTATTACATGGTTCCATGTGGGGAGTGGCGTTATGTGACCTTGTGTGGAGTGGCGTGGTGTGGTGTTTGTGTGGCGTGCGTGTGCGTGGCGTGCGTGTCGTGCGTGTGTGTGGTGTGTGTGGCGTGCAGACGCGCAAGGACATCATCACGCAGGTCACCTATGCCACCATGGCGGGTGACGTCGTCGTGTGCGCCGCCTACGCGCACGAGCTGCCCCGCTACGGGCTTAAGGCCGGCCTGACCAACTACGCCGCTGGTACCTCCCCATTCACCAGCCCCCTTCTTTCCTCGTTAACCCGCGCTCCTCTTTTGGCCGCCCCGCCCTACTTCCGTATTATCTTCAGTTTTCGGATCCCCTGCCTTCCGTTGCATTTCCTCAGCCTTGTTGGGATGGCGCCGTTTCTCCCTAAATCGTATTCCACCAGCACCTACATCCGCAGCCCCGGGCTTAATCCCTTCTTTCTCGCTCTCGCTCCTCCCCACTCCGCCCATCCTCCCCGCTCCTACCGCCCGTGGGCAGCGTACTGCACGGGGCTGCTGTGCGCGCGCAGGATGCTGCAGAAGTTCGGCATGGACAAGGAGTACGAGGGCATCGCCGAGGTACGCGCGCACGTGCACGCCCGCTGCGCATCACTGCCCTCGCTTCTTGTTTGGGGAAGGAAGAGGGGTGGAGGTGGGAGAGGAGAGGAATTAGGGCAAGGAACCGCGAGGCTGGGCGGTGGGGCGGGATGGGTTTTATCGGTTAGAACTCCCAGGCCTTTTCATCAGGCGAGCTGTTTTTCACGCCGGTTCGCTCTTGGGTAGTAAGGGACTGCTGAGCACGGTGCTGTTGGATTGTGGTAGCCAGTTTTATGGGTTACGTTGGCTCTGATCACGCCTCGACCGCTCGCTCTTCCTCTTAAACTCAATTAACATCGGCGTGCGTGCGCGTGTGCGTGGTGCGTGGGGCTCGGTGGTGGCAGGCGACGGGCGAGGACTACAACGTGGAGCAGGGCGAGGGCCGTGCCCCCTTCAAGGCGCTGCTGGACGTGGGCCTCGTGCGCACCACCACGGGCAACCGCGTCTTCGGCGCCCTCAAGGTCACTACCGCATCCCCTTCTCCCTGCTCTGGAATTTTGCCTTATTGCGGAACTTTCAGTGAGATATCGATTGTCGGTCGTGCTTGTGACCGCTGCTGTCACGGTCCCCGCTCGCTCTCCCATTCTTCCCACCGCACGCCCTCATTCCCCCCTTTTCACTCTCTCGCGCGTTGCCTCCCGTCCCACTCTCGGACCTGGCTGGTTCCATCAGGGTGCGTGCGACGGCGGCATGGAGATCCCCCACAGCGACAAGCGCTTCCCCGGGTTCATGAACGACGGCAAGGGCGGGTCCGCCAGCCTGGACGCCGAGGTGCACCGCAAGTACATCTTCGGCGGACACGTCGGCGAGTACATGGAGGTCCGTGCCCCCCCTCGTTGCTCAGCTGCTACTGCTGCTGATGATGATGATGATGTTGGTGGTGGTGGTGGTGGTGGTGGTGGTGGTGGTGGTGGTGGTGGTGGTGGTGGTGGTGGTGGTGGTGGTGTTGGTGGTGGTGGTGGTGTTGGTGGTTCATTCCGAAGTTCAGAATCAGAATTCTTTCCTGCTGTCCCGCCAGTTGCAAGGGATCTCGTTTGCAACTAGGGCGGTGTCCTGACCCTGGTTTTGCCACGTGGTGCTTGTGAATGGTGTGTGCGTGGCGGTGTGGGATGGCAGATGCTGGAGGAGGAGGAGCCGGAGAAGTACCAGTCGCACTTCGCCAAGTTCCTGGGCGAGGGAGTGGACGCGAGTGGGCTGGAGGAGATGTACCAGGCCGTGCACGCTGCCATCCGTGAGGACCCCTCCGCCAAGCTCACCGAGAAGAAGCCGCCTGCTGAGAAGCGCAGGTATGGTGTCCTGCCTCCCTTGCATGCGCCCGTGCTTGCTCCCATAGGGCGATTGGGATTCAAGCTCCTGTTGATTATTTGTTTTTAGTTGGCTGTGTGTTGCTTCTGGTAGTGGTGTTTGTGCAGTTTCTTACTTGTTTGGGTGGGTCTTGTGTTCCCTCGTTTTTCCCATTGTCTTGTGTGTGGGTGAGCAGCTGGAAGATGAAGAAGCTGACGTACGAGCAGAGGAAGGCCAACCTTGTGCAGCGTCTCGAGGCATTCAACAAGGGCGACGAGGAGTAGATGCTGCCCATGCTGCTGTGCTCTTGCGCTCAAAAGGGTGATAGTGAGATTGTTGAGGATGATAAGCCTGGATATGGTTGTTGTGTTACACCATGTGTGCATGATAGCGTTCTCTTCAACTACGAGCCTTGTCCCTGGCCATCAGTGCTATGCTGCACTCCATCCACTCCCCCAGAGTTCAAGGAACTTAATTTCCTCTTAATTCAAGTTTACCAATATTCCTGGTACAAGCGACAAGCAGAAACAGCTTTGGCAGAGTCACCCCTTAGGGCGTGGGCCACATTTGTTCAAGCGCTGCTCAAGCTTCGAACTTTCAAGAATACCGTACTGCACCATGTAGAAAAACATATCCGCCATTTTAAACCCATGTAAATCCCTGAACAGCCTGCTCAAGAAGCCATTTTGAACAATTGTGGACCACGACTTGGTTCATAGGCTGAGCGCTAGAAAAAACTTTTGGCGAGGCCAGTAAAATCTATTCACGTTCAACACGCATTAATCAGAAGCTTCAAGGCGAAGTGAAACGATGTCTAAACGTCCTTTCGGGGAAGAGGTAGTTAAGAGATGCTGTTAAAACAAATCTTTGGGAAACTGATTATATTACCGAGATGTTCCATATCGAGGATTTGGTACGTGCGACTTCCCCTGTCCTTGCCCGTTCCCTCCGCACATCACTTCATTCACAGCCAGCAGAGCAAAACGAAACACCAGTCTGGTCAATATTCACCCGCCAACGCAACTTGCCTACTCGGAAGTCCGTCTATCTAGCCCCCCTGTTACCAGCGATCCTGCTACCGTTCCTCCGATCCTGTCCACATACCTCCGCTCCTCCAATCGGCCTCCCAGTCTGCTGCGCCGTTACAAGGCCCACGGTGCCGTTCCGCTAGCTACCAGCAGCGCCAGCAGCAGCAGCCACAGGAGCAGCAGCAGGTGCGCAGCAGGGGTGCGGCATGGCGGCGGCAGCGGAGGACGCTTTGAAGCTGTTCGTGGGGCAGGTGCCCAAGACGTTCACCGCGGACGACCTCACACAAGTGCTCGCCGAGGCGGGCACTGTCTGTGACGTCACCATCGTCAAGGATCGCGTCACCAAGGAGTCGCGCGGTGAGTCGTGCTGCCGCGGATCGCGCGGGTCGCGCGGATCGCAGATCTTAAGCCGGGTAGTCATCGCGTTCCGTCTCAGGGCGTATTCCATCCTGGTGGCAGAGCAACTGTTCATCGCACTGTTGGTGGCTTGCGCATTTTCCGGCCCCCTGAGTTTTTGAGAACAGTTGCCCTGCCACCAGGATGGAATACGCCCTTAGCATCCTCCGTGTTCGTTGCTAGGGTTTCAGCGAATCGCGATCGTCTATTCTTTTGCACACCGAACCAATCCGCTCGCTCTGGCTCTCGTCCCGCCGTTCGTCAGTCCCGCACACCCTACACTTCCCCCCCTGTCCACCCCGCCTTCCCCTTCCCTCCCCTGCCCCTCTTCTTCCCTTCCCGCGGTCATCCCATCGCAGGCTGCGCGTTCGTCCTCTACTCGACGCGCGCGGAGGCGGACGCGGCCATCGCGCTGTTCCACAACATCCGCAAGCTGCCGGGGGTGAGCGAATCGCGCACGGGGGAATGGGGGAAAAGGGACTGGGGGATGCGCGCTGCGGGGTGGAGTGGCACGTGGGTCCCTGCAGGGGGTTGCTAACGGCGCCTGTCATGTGGTTGTGCGGCAGGTGGTGCGAGCGAGGCTCGCGTGAGAGGTGCGACAGTTGAGAGACGTACGCTTCCTGCGTCTCCCGCGCATATACAACCCCCCTCACCTCACCCCCTCCACCGTCCTCCCCGCTCCTCCTCCCCCTCCCCCCCTCCTCTCCCCAACCCCCCGCCGCGTTCTCCCCCCTTTCTTCCCACCGCATGCGCACGGCGCCCCTCGTCTGCGTTTCCCGTGGAGCCGTCGCTGGTTGCGCGGTGGTGGACGTTCGTGCGCGGTGGTGCGCGGTGGTGTGGGCAGGCGAAGACGGCGATGCAAGTGAAGTACGCAGACGGGCAGGAGCACAAAATAGGTGCGCGCTCGCCCTCGCCCCTCACGTCCGCGCCCTAACGCCTCTCCGCGCTTTCCTACCGCCCTTCCGCCCTTGCGCGCATGGGCGCGCGCATCCACCATGTCCTGCTCCCTGTCTCTATCGGTGAGCAGTGCTGCCACCTCAATCGCTGGCCTGTTCCTCTGTCCCCGGGGCGCACGTGTGCATTTGCATGGATGGACGGGGTTGTGTGCATGCGTGGGTGCGCATTCTTGTTGTGCGTGTGCATGTGCGTGAGTGTGTGTGTGTGTGTGTGTGAGCACAGAGAACAAGCTATTCGTGGGCATGCTACCCAAGGCGGTGACAGCGGAGCAGTTGACGGCAGTGTTCGCACAGTACGGCACGGTCATTGACATCAACGTGCTCAAGCCCGCTCCTCACATCACACGAGGTGCTCATGCTGCCGCTGCTGCTGCTGCTGCTGCCGCTGCTGCTGCTGCTGCTGCCGCTGCTGCTGTTGCCGCTGCCGCTGCTGCTGCTGCCGCTGCCGCTGCTGCTGCTGCTGCTGCTGCTGCTGCTGCTGCTGCTGCTGCTGCTGCTGCTGCTGCTGCTGCTGCTGCTGCTGCTGCTGCTGCTGCTGCTGCTGCCGCTGCCGCTGCCGCTGCCGCTGCCGCTGCCGCTGCCGCTGCCGCTGCCGCTGCCGCTGCCGCTGCTACCGCTGCTGCTCCTCTCGCTCACGGCTCAAATGGGCTGGCGGGTAGCAGCGCTGTGCCATGCGCGTTCGCGAGGCGCAATGTGCGGTGCACACCCTCCTGCGCGCCCCTCTCATGACCCACACAGTTCTTCTGCTGCTTCCTTCTTCCCGCCTCCGTCTTGACCCCCTCCCCCACCCGCCTCTCCCTCACCCTCCCTGCTTCCTTTCGCCCGCCCTCCCTTCCGGCTTCCCTCTCTCCTCCTCAACCTCTCTCCCTCTCCACTACGCGCCACCTCCTGTCCCCCCCTTCTCGCTCCCCGCGTGTCCCCCTCTTCCCCTGCCTCCTCCCCCTCCCCTCTCCCCCCCCCCCGTGGTGCAGGGTCGGCGTTTGTGAAGTTCCAGTCGTACGCGCAGGCACAGGCCGCCATCGATGCACTCAACGGCAAGCACCGCCTTGAGGTGCGCCGCTGCTCCGCTGCACCACGCACGGATGGGGGGGAGTGGGGGGATGAGAGGGAGCGACGGGAGGGGTGGGGAAGGGAGGGGGAGGGTTGGAAAGGCAATGGTGGATGAGGAGAAGGACGCACGGTTGGAGGGGGGGCGTGTGTTCATGCAACCAGTGCTCTGTCTGTACGAGGCTTTCAGTCCCCCGCCCGTCCCTCTTGCTGCTGCTGCAACCCCCCTGGCTGCACGCTGCACGCTGCGTTCAGTCTCCCCCCTGCCACACTCCTCTTCCGCCACCATGCCTCATCCTATCGTTCCGCCTCCCATGTCTCCCTCAACAACCCCCCCCCCCCACCCCCTTCGCTTCCTTCTTCCTTCTCCACAGGCTCATTCCCCTCTGTCTAAATTCCTCCCTTGTCGCCTTGCCAGCCTCCTTCCCTCCCACTCTGTAACGTTCTCCTTGTCTTCCCCTCCGCGCCTCCCCCCTGGGCGCACTCCCGTGTACACACATACAGGAGGGGGGGGGAGTGCCGATGGCGGTGAAGTGGGCGGACACGGACAAGGAGAAGATGGCGCGCAAGGCGCACCGCATGGGCCCGCCCGCACCCGCCGCCGCTGCACTGGGCATGGGCCCGTCGCCTCCCGGGCTGTACTCCTCGCCGCTCATGGGGTCCGCTCCTGGCGCTGCTGCCTTCTTCCTGCCGCCCTCCTCTGTGCCGTCTCTGTACGGCTCTCCCATGCAGCCGCAGCTGCAGGTGGGGCCCCGCTCTCTGTCACACACACACGCACGCGCGCGCACACACACACACCCTCTCACTCTCAATGGCTGGCTGGCGTTTTCCTTTCACCCTCGAAATTCCAACCTCTCTCTCTCCCTGTCTCCCACTCCAGTTTACCTTCCTGCTCTCCCCCGCACTCTTTCGCTCCCATTCGCCCTGCTTACGCTTTTCCGCATGCCCTGCTTGCGTAGTCACAGCTTCTGGTCTCATTCCTGCCGCCATGCTTCGTGCATCCCATCGTGTGTTGCACATCCCTGCATGTGTCTCTGTGTGATTCCACACGACCACAACCACAACGACAGCAGTACGGAGGCATGGACTTGGCATCGCTGTACCAGCACCAACCACCCGCCATGCCGCAACCGCAGCCACACGACATGTATGCCATGCCGCCACCTGCTGCTCAACACTACCACACGGATGGCGCAGCAGCAGCAATGGCAGGAGGAGGAGGGGGGGGGAGGGGGAATTGGGGGCCCAGTGGGGGGCTATCAGCTGGGCGCGGTGCCGTCAGCGACGGCCGTGGCCGCTGCTGTGAGGCAGGCCCTGGCTCAGAAGGAAGGTGCGTGGGGGCTGACTGCTGCCCTGCCTCATGCCCTGCCATTCTATTGATCGCACTCACTCACTCACTCACTCACTCACTCACTCACTCTCTCTCCCATCGCCCCTCAACCTCATCCTCCCTTCCATTCATTACATCACACCCACCTCCCATGCTACCACCCTCACTCCCTACCTGACCACCATCCCCATACCCCCTCTCCGTCCATGCCACCCGCTCCCCTGTTTTCTCTGTGCCATTTCCCTTCGCCGCACTCCCCTCTCTGCCTGTCCACGCGTGTGTGTGTGTGTGCGACAGGTCCCCCTGGCGCCAACATATTCGTGTACAACATTCCCCCGGAGTGGCGGGACCACGACCTGACGACGGCGTTTGTGGAGTTTGGCAACGTGCTGTCGGCGCGCGTCTTCATTGACAAGAACACCGGCCTCAGCAAGAACTTCGGTGCGCGCACTGGAGGGCAGGCCACTGCAGGGCAGCACATGGCGGCACAGGGCAGCACAGGGCAGCACAGGGCAGCACAGGGCAGCACAGGGCAGCACAGGGCAGCACAGGGCAGCACAGGGCAGCACAGGGCAGCACAGGGCGACACAGTCTAGCCCGGGACACTGCGCAGCAGTCTGATTCATCTCCTCTACTTCCATTTCTGCACATCTTCCGCTCTTTCATACTCACTTGCAAGCCTCTCTGCCTCCCGCCTCCCGCCCTCCCTCTCCCCCTCCCCCTGCGCCAGGGTTTGTGAGCTACGATGCAGCGGAGGCAGCGCAGGCGGCGATAGCGGTGATGGACGGGTTCCTGGTGGGGGGGCGCCACCTCAAGGTCTCCGTCAAGAAGGGCCAGCAGGCCTCTGCGCCCGGCCACGCCTCCGCGCCCTACTGACCGCCACCGTGTTGCTGCGCATCCTCTGCTGCCCTGCGCCATGGTACCATGGTGCCTTGCTTGTCATGATGCTGCTTACTGTCTGGGGGTGGGGCAAAAGGGACGGGGGGAGGGGGGATGGGCGGTTGTGGTGGGGAATGTGATGAGGTGAGGAGATGTGCTTTGGTTGGAAGGTTCTTCTTTCACGTTATCCCCTCTCCATTTCCATCGCTCATTTCCTGCTCTTCCCATGCTCTCCTGCACCTGTGCTTAAACCTGTGTACACACCTGTGTTATCACTGTGTGTGCTGTGTAAATGGTTCCTCGCTCTCTCCTCCCCCTCCCCTCGCCCTTTCTGTCTCTCTCGTCCCGTTTCTCTCTCACCCATGCCCTTCTCTCCCTCTGTCTCCTTCTCTTCCACTCCTCCCCGGCTTCCTCTTTCTCTATGTGTGTGTGTGTGCTTGTTTGTTCGTGCGTGTGTGTTCGTGTTCGTGATTGTGTGTGTGTCTCAGTGCATGTTTGCTTGCCGCCTGTCAGTGGTTGCTGCCACAACTGTTTCTGCATCACTACTGCTGCATGCGCTCGCCCTTGCACCACCTCATGATGTCTCCCTGTTTTAGTTCCGCCACCACCACCACCACCGCCTCCTCCTCCATTGCCTCCGCCACTAACGCCGCCGCGTTTCAATCGTGGCCTGGTAGTCCAGTGCTGCTTTGCTGTCGCCTCTAGTGGCGTTCTCCTGTTTTGTGCTTCGACCAGTGACTGTGGTTCGGTCAGTGGCTTGATGTGAAGTTTGTCAACAACCAGTGAATGTTATACAGCCACAAGTGCTTCGCGTTCTCATTCCTCAGTGTTCCAGTTAGTCACTGTTCCGTTAAAATGTGGACCAGAAGGATGCTGTGCAAACGCCTGTTTTCGTTCTCGATTGTGTAACCGCAGAAGAAACTATTCAGTCTTCCTCTAATTCTCCCACCCTCCCTCCCTCCCTCCCTCCCTCCCTCCCTCCCTCCCTCCCTCCCTCCCTCCCTCCCTCCCTCCCTCCCTCCCTCCCTCCCTCCCTCCCTCCCTCCCTCCCTCCCTCCCTCCCTCCCTCCCTCCCTCCCTCCCTCCCTCCCTCCCTCCCTCCCTCCCTCCCTCCCTCCCTCCCTCCCTCCCTCCCTCCCTCCCTCCCTCCCCTCCTCTTCCTCCCTCTCCCATCATTTTCTCCCTCCCTCCCCTCTCTCCGTTCCACATTTCCCACTCCCATCTTGTCCCTCCAGCGCACTCTCCTACCTCGCTATTTTCCAGACTTCCCCTCCCCTTATCTATTTTCTTTTTCATTCCACCAACTCTCCCTCTGGCTGCCCTTAACCCCTCTTTCTACCCCATGCCGCACCACATCAAAGTGCGCATGTTTTCACAGTACCATATCTTACTTTCCCCAAGATTTTCCTTCGATCATTGTCTGCCCTTTCCTGCATGCTGTTTGGGCCGCGGTCTGTAGTTCTGCCTGATGTCCCTAGCCCATCTGATACCAAGGAATGATTGTCCATAAATGTTTCATTATTACGGAGGTGTAATGTTGCATCTTATTTCCTTATGCAAAGGGGATGATTGCAAACAAAATTGCAACAAGCATCCGCCGATGCGCTTTGACAACGAAATATAAGTTCTGTGACTTAAACACTGACCTATCTTGATGCAATATTCAGTCACACCCACGACTCACTCTTCATCATGCAAGGCAAGTAGTACCAAGCGAGTTTTCTTATTCTCATTTCGCTCTGTCCACAAGATCCTTCCTGTGGCCTTGAAAGAAGATGTCCGCACTGTAAACTTGGGTTGCATGTTTGTGTCAATTGCACTCCTCCATTGCGGCTGCGAGGCTTCCACCTGGCTACACGAGTTTCCAGGAAATTGAGAGTGCAGTGGCAGCACGGGCTGAATCTGAAGGGCACATGGTTCTTTTGGTGGTTGGCATTCTGAGATGCTTCTTTGTGGTGGTAGCTGCAAACCCAGCCTTGATGCTGCCAATTCTAGGCTCCGTCCCATCACATGCAGTGTTGCATTCTCCGTTGGTTCACCGATGGTTGGTGAAGGGACCACGACGCATCGGCCATTGATATGTTTGTTACATGCACTTGGGCTGGACGAGTACTCAGAATAGTCATCACCGTTGTCATCATCTTTAAGCGATCCTTGCATGTGACCTCCGTTACACGTAGAGCCAACAGTCTGGAAATCATCTTCTTTAGTAAGGAAAGGATGGAGCTTTTCAGACTCTGCTACGATGCTTCGGTCATTGTCGTATCCTGCAAAGATTACTGCACATGGTTACGATATAATGTGGTTTCAAGGGAGAAAGGGTATGATAAAAAGCCGTACCAGAAAACGATAGTGGTGCATTGGTGCTGGAGTTTGCCTCCAAAATTCGAGGGCTGGATGTCCAAGCAGGGCATTTAGAAAGAGAAATAAGAACTTGAAGCTGAGCAACATACAGACTTTGGTTGGTCTTCTTTTTGGAATGTGTCATCTTGTAGATCTTGAAGCCATCCCAGTGCATCCTCCTCCTTCGTGCGTGCTTTCCAGCATCCTGTAACGTCTCTAGACCTGAACAAAGGGTAATGTGGATGATGCAACCTTAGCGAATGCACTCCAACTTACTTCGGAAAACTATTCCTCGCCGAACGAACTGTCGTAGGAAGACTGCTTGGATATTTATTGCCTGCTTCGTCATTACCCATCCATCCATAAAACCTTTTGGCTGATTGGTTGCACTCATTTGGCGAGTCCAGAAAGAGTGACTGCTTTGACGGCTCCGGGACTTCCACAGGGGACAAGATATTCCACGGTTGGGAAAATTCCATCACCGGGGACTCGTTCCATGGCTTTTCCTGTGCTTCTACGCCATAAGGTGGAACGTTAACTTTCAAGTTCTCAAAGAATGGAGACTTGGGGGAACGCTGGTTCGTCCCTACTGCTCGTGTGCCTCCTGGAGATGGAGAACAGCCCTTCTCTCTCAGCTGATGTTGCGCATTGCCAAATGGAAACTCCACTGCACAGGGATGTGAAAATCAGTAGAATCCTAGGGCACGAGAACAAAAAAACAATGAGAAAAACCCTGCCTTTTTCTTCCCGCATTCTGTACTTCGGCGAAGGCAAGGATTGATCCCATTCGTTGTGCTGTGTTGCATAATCAAACACTATTTCCTGCTCACAGAGAAACAAGGTCAATGCTGCTCAATACACATAAAACTCTCTGTGAAAAATGTTACCTCTTCATGTCCCAAGTCATTCTTCAGCTCCACTGGCGTTGACTTCAATCCAAAAAAGCGCCTGGTCACATGTTCAGCGTTGTTTAGTAGGCAGCTAGACACTTCCAAACTACCTGGAACCTGTTTGTACTGCGTTAATACCTTGGCGGTGTATGGTTTCGTGGGGATTGCGGAGGCGTCCTTCCATCTAGCGCGCCGGCACCATCCATTGTGAATGAAACATATGGTTCGGATGGGAGCTCATGGCCGACCTTCGACTTATCTTGTGCTTCCAGGAGCTTCACAAGTGAAAAACCGCCTTCACACACCAGCCACTGGTTTCAGAGAAAGTTCGAACATCATGAACGGAATCAGAATAGAAGTTAATGCAAACCTGGAAGGAGGCTGTGCTCCCGAGAAGGGCGTGGTGAATCATTCGGACCTTCCTTTGGCCGTAGTCGAGACTTCTCGGGTGAAGCAATTTCAGTGTGATCCAGCCTTCTTTCGCGTGGCTGAGCAGGTTCCAGACGTGAAAGAGTTGACACCGGCTGAATGCGTTTTTCGCAAATGTTGGATGGATCATCCTTTTTTCTTTGAAAATGCCTATAATTCGGCTCGTCACCGTCTTCACGAGCACCTCGACGCGCACTGGAAAATGTGGTTTGAGAATGAACCATGTATGCAAGTAAAAGCGTCTTCTTCCGTGCTTACCAGTTTATACGACCTGTTTAAACCAAGGCGGGAATAGGGAAGGCAAACCAGCAAAGCAAAAGTTTGAAAAGAGCCTCTGAGGGCAGATTCAAATCAGACCTTCTTTAAAATGTTGTACAATCACCTTGAGGAGAATCAGGACACTCTTGCGGAGAGTTTCCAATATAAGCAAGTGCTTGCAGACTGATGATGTCGAGAGACTTTCCTGGAATCTCAGGAGGACGAGAAAGTGGTTGCCTTCCTTCAAAAGATTGCTGGCGCTGATGCTCAAAGAACTGTCGTTGTCTGCAACGGAAATGAACGATTAGCATGGCGAGGCATGCGGTCTAACGATTACCTCTTAATCTGAACCTGACGAGATTTCTGCACAGATAACGAGCAGGTTAAACGAAGTACGGATAAGAAACAGGAAATCACGATGGTCTTCTTTACCTCCTTCACCTTCCGCCGCAATCCCCCGGTCCATTGAAGCATGATCAGGTAAATTACTAGTTACGAGTCAATAACTTGAATGGCTGTTTGCTTGTCAGTTGGTGAAAGCTGAATGGGTGCTGCAGGAGGAATGTGAGGCCAGATTAGGCAACGCGACTTGGTACAATTTGGGAAGGGACCAATAAGGAACAAAAGGATATATACATAATCAATGGCTATCATAATATGTAGATTGTTTTCTATTTCCAATAATATTATAGAAATGGCTGGACGCGTGAGATATTCACGTTGAGGTAAAGTTGCATTCAAGAATATTTATAGTAATTTGCACAAATAAACTAGCTGTACAGGATTAGATTCTCAAAGTTAGCGAACAACGGAATGCATGAACTAGCAAAGTGTTGGATACAAATAGGAAACCCTAGCATCTGTACCCTCTATAATGCAACTCACTACAGCCTATAACTATTATATTTGACACACCCCCATAGGCTAAGTGAGAGGCATCAAAACAAGCAAGGCAGACAAACGGTCACAAGACCAGTCAAGACAAGAAGCAAGGCAAGCTCAGGGTGGATCTCAAGGACACCAAACAAATTCCGAGCACAAGCAAGCGGCCACAAGAGTTCACTATGATATATATAGGAAAACACAACAAGCTGAGCAAGTAACAAGTCGACAGCAACCGAGGGCCTACCTCAACAAGCCCCAACTGCACACAGAACATATGGTGGTCACCAAGCGCCAGGGCCTTGGTGAAGACGTCTGCAGTGTTGGCCTCTGAGGCCACAAAGTCCAGGCGTGCCTGGCCGCGTCGTTGCAGCTCTCGCAGGAGGAAGTACCTCACGTCAATATGCTTCACTCTGCTCTCCAGTCGAGGCTCTCGACAGAGGAGGATCATGGCCTTGTTGTCAGCGTACAAGGTCAGTGCAGAGCGATGCCGCTCACCAAGGTCGGCGAGCGCTGTTCAGTGCGGAGTCTCTGGCGGTGGCCAGCTGTAGCTACAGCGGCGTCAGCATGAGACCCTTACACGCCGGCAGCTTCATGAGTGGTACGCTCAGAGTGGGGGGTCTAGGAGCTCTGCCCGCTGCCCGTACGTCATTCGCACAGGTGATCGGGCTGGTCAGACCTGTGGGACGTTTGGTCACACCGAGGCTCGCTGCTTTGCTTGTCTGAGTGACACCTGGCGTGCAGTGTTTGGCGACGAGGCTGAGTCCCCCCCCTGGCTAGAGTTGTGGCGCACCCAGGTTGACATCTTTGCTCTCGACTTTGACACTCTCCTTACTGCCATGTATGCCAGGACTGGTGGTACTGAGGGTGCCTGTTCCGTGTGTCTACCGCCCGACCCGGGCATAGGGACCAGTGAGGCTGCCACTCTAGGTGCTAGTGCGTCTGCTGCCCCAGGTCCTTGTGAGGCTGCTGCTCTAGGTGCTAGTGTGTCTGTTGCCCCAGGTGCTGGTGAGGCTGCTGCTCTAGGTGCTCGTGAGTCTGCGCCCTCTGGTACTGAGTCTACTGAGGCACTGCACACCTTCACACTGGACTCGGGTGCTTCCCGCTGCTTCTTTCGTGACCGCACTGTCCTTGAGCAGCTAGCTCGGCCGGTTGCTGTCTCCCTGGCTGACCCCTCTGGGGGCCCGGTTCTTGCGACCTCCTCCACTGTCCTCCCTTGTCCTGCGGTCCCGTCCGGCACCCTATCAGGTCTCTACCTCCCCTCGTTCTCTACGAACTTGGTGGCGGGCTCTGCTCTCCAGGACGGGGGTGTTCACCAGTTCACCCCTGCCCACGAGCGCGTGACCCACTGCACGTGTGCTCGGACGGGTCGCCACCTGGCTACCTTCACTCGGCAGCCGGGGTCGGACCTGTACACACTGACCACTGAGTCCCCTCAGGTAGCTGCGTCTGCGTCTGCGTCAGGTCAGCTGTCGGCCCCCTGCTCGTGTCGCTCCCTGGCGCACGAGACCGTCCTCTGGCACC